CATATATTTCTTCCCCAAATAATGATCTCTATATCAAACAAAAAGGCAAAATACATAATAATGAAATATGAGGGATTATTTTTATTCAAAAGCAAGAAAAAAAAAGAAAATAAAAGATGAGGGAATATTCAATATTTTCCTTCAATATTAAAAAACACCAAGTCAGCCTATATACAAGCTACGAGAATTTCATAAGGAGTAACAGTATACATACAATAAGGAAACAAATTATTATGATTTGCCTACAAGGCATACACAATAAAATCTATACAAAAAAAAAAAAAATTTATCACGTAAGTCTTTAAATTTTTATTTATTTATTATTTTTTTTTCAACATAAACTAACTCCCAAGTTCATCAATGGTATTGTAGCTTCAACATTCAATAATGGTGTATTACTCAAAAATCATATGGCTAATATAATAAATATTAAACACAAAATCATATGACTAATAACAGTTAAACACGAATTCATATGACTAATAAAAATTAAACAAGAGATCGTAAGATAAAACGTGATTTTTTTAAACCTAGTTATGTATACATATGATTAAATTGATTTCAGTTTCATTCTATCAAAAAAAAAATGATTTCAATCTCATTAACTAATTTAAGTTTACACATAAATATAATGATTATACATTAATAATATTGTTATATACTTTAGTTTAAGGATGCGATTTGAAAAAAAGCTAAAGGTCGAAGGTGGGGTGCGCCATTAGAGAAGGTTGAAACTATGAATATGAGTATGAAGCTATCAAAGTGATTTTGAAAGAAATCATACAAGAATGATTCAGTTAAAATTAAAATAAACATTGAATACAAGTATATATATATAAAAAAAAAGTACACTTAAAAAAATTAACCCTCTAAAAGTAAGAAAACAAACAAGACTTTGCTGACTGGTCGCTGAATGGTCGATGACTTGTCAGCATTTTAATGATGTGTAAATTAGATTTTTTAATTTTTTAAAAACATAATATTTAAAGGTTAAGATTCAGAAACAAAGAATATGAACGGTTCAGATTTAATCTCTTATTATAGTCGTTCGTAGTCATCCATAGTCGATGACTACACTAGAAGCTTCGTTCCTTAGAACTTCAACCATTAATAAATTTATTTGCCAATGAGTAAAAGGTTAATAGTTGGTTTCAAAAAAAAAACAAGTAAAAGGTTAATAGTTAAAATAAAAATTAAGATGAATGATAGTTTTCCACATTACTATATTTTTTTAACATAAAGCATAAAGATATTTGTTTGTATGCAATAGATCTAGAGTGATACATAAAGGTACAATTATACCCTTATTTCACCGGGAAAAAAAAAAAGTATATCAAAGACAGTCTATATCATATATAAAACCGGCCTATGAGGTATTGTTCTGTGGACAAATTGAGCCACTAGATGTGTAGCCAAGTTGACTTGTTATCTTTTGTTAAATTAAAAAGACCGGTTAGTAAAAAACCTAATATCTTTGATATTTTTTTAATATGTTTTCCGCTCTAAATCAATTACTTTTTCCAACAAAACCGGTCTCTTAAATACTTCTTTCTTAACACACAAATGTATTCAGCTACTTATTTATAGACCTTATGGTATTAAGGCTTTGATTGATTGCCGAAGGCTAGGTGAATATATCGTACACACAAAGACTAATACAATATTGAAATGATCATAATTAACTTAAATTTTAGTTGATGATGTTCCAAGGTGTTATGTATATGTGTTGGAATTGTAGATTTCTTTGAAATTGTTTGTAAGTGTCATATAATTAATGAAATCATTTTTTCTTTCTATAAAAAAAAAAAGTTAATATAGCAAGAAAATGGATTTGATGCCACACATCATGCTTATCATATAAGCCTTGATACTGTTCTTTCTTTTACACTGGCTTGCTTTGATGGAAAGTGGGTTGTTTTGGACCAAGTCACTTTTTGACACCTCTAGCTCTGTACTTGTGTAGTTATGAAAAAAATAGGAAGGGAATCATAGAAATCTACTTATCTTATCTAGCCAAAAAAAAAAAAAAAAAAAAAAATTATAACAATAATAATATCAAAGAGGATTAGTCAATTTAATGTAAGAAATTAATCTTATTAGATCCTTCTTCCAAAGACAATCTTATTTGATCTTGCATTAATCATATTAGATTTTTGCTGATGTGTAGGAGCAGAATTGGATGTAGGAAAAAAAAAAAAAAAAAAACCTCTGGAGTATTATATAAATAGGTCAAAAGATGATTGACAATAGAACACATAACATCTTTAAATAAAACAAAGTAATTGATAAGTATATATATATTAAAATTCTTTTTTCAAAAGCACTAAGTTCAATCAAATGGCTGGAAAGATATCATTTGTGTCTCTCATACTACTGATACTAGTTATCTTAAACTTTGGTAAGAGTTATAAATACGAAATATTATTATCTTTTACATTATCATTTTGGTTTGAAATCCACATTTTTAAAAATTGATACATTAAGTGAGTATTATTTATGTTTGAGAATAAACAGTTTATCTTTAATTAAAATAGTGATAATATAATTAAATTAGGAAAATAATTTTTACTATGTAACATTTAGATGTTACAAATTAGTTAGTTAATTATATAATTAAATCAATTTTATGGTGTACTATTTTTTTTTTAAAATTTTTAATTTATAAATACAGGTACTAGTGTTACGAGCTCAAGGTTAGATGAAGCGATGGTTCCAAATGCAGTTCCTAGTGGTGTGAGCTCAAGGTTGGATGAAGCAATGGTTCCAAATGAAGCGATGGTTCCAAATGCAGGTACTAGTGTTGTGAGACAAAGGTTAGATGAAGCGATGGTTCCAAATCCAATGGACATTGGAGTAGAAGGAGTAGGCCCCCGTTGCAATATTCACATAGTTGGTTGTACAACCGAATTATGTAAGGCACAATGTCCACCATTGGCCGAGAATTCTTATTGCATTTACAACATTTGTTGTTGTGCTGCATAAATTAACATATGTATGTTAAAATAATAATATAAAAACTTTGAATGAATTAAAGTTTAATAATGAATGTAATAAACTTTTGTTCTATTGTTATATATGGTATAAACATATGAATATATAATTATACTCTTCCAATTTATTAGATTTATTCATATTATTTTCATATTATGCGAGCAAATTTTGCAATCTTTGGCACAACAATTTTGCAATTTCATCACAAACTTCTCAATAATAATAAAATTTCTAATGATCTAGGGGCCACCATACCATCAAAGGCTAATATATTCATTTTGTTTAAATTGAATTGGTTTGATTATATAATTAAGATTTTAAAACACATTAAACTCGTCAAAAGTTGTTATTTATTTTACGATTTGGTTTTCTTTATTTCTCGTATGTTCTCTTGTACCATTATACGTCAACTAAAATAAAATAAAAAAAATACTTACACATACACTAATGTATAGCCCCTTAAATTACTTATCTTTTGATTTTATGTTTGGAATTGGAATGCAATGGTCTAGTATACCAAAATTATCAATGTAAAGATTCAAACTTTAACTCCAACCCTTATATCTATGTCTTAATTTAGATTTTATTTTGGACTTTTAATTTTTTTCTCTTCGCTTATTTAATTTGATATAAATTTATTACATTTTCATCTGTTTTAGCTTGGTCTTGGTTTGATCTAAATTTTTATAATTTGGTATAATTTCATATGAATCTTTATAATATGATCTAATCTGATTTGATTTGATTTTATCTAGTAAGATCTATTTGATATATTTTTTGATTTGGTCTAATTTGATCAAAAATTTCTAATATGATTTGAATTTTTCTAATTTGTTCAGTCTAGCTTATTGATTTAACATACATGGCTTTAACAACAATATAATAAGTAACAAGAATAAGATGATTTGAACAAATAAATCCTAATTGTAGACTTTATGATGGCTTGGCCTAAGAAGGGTTTAGCAATTGTTTAAGGATGATTTAGATCACACTAATCTATTAGCATTCATTTGATATATTATATCTTTATAATTAGCGTAAAAATAATGACAAAGTTGGGTTAAATAATAAAATTAGACAAAAATTAATCGGATTTAAAAAAAAAAACCCTTTTAATATTTTACCCTTCCTACCCACACTATATTATGCACTTTCTTTTACTTTTTTTTTTTATCAATATACTAGTATTGAGTTGATAAAAATGAGTTACATATATATAATAATATAACAATGTAAAATCAAACAAATGCATGTAAGTCAAATAATAACACAAACAAGTGCCATTTTTTGAGGTAGTAATTGACAAATTATTCTATAATATAAATGCATTGGTAGTTATCTTGTTGGGCCACTTGTTATTGTTCTTTGATCGGTCCACATGATTGGGATGTTTTTATCCTAATTAAACAGTTTTGTATTGAATTATATTGTTTCACGTTTTTTTTTTTCTTACAACACTTCATTGTCAATACATTATTTTAATCACTAGTATCTCTAATTATAGTATGTAAAAATTATAAAAATTTATATTATGAAATGATAAATCATGGCAAATCTAACAAAAATCTCACATGACTAACGCATAAGTAGTCAAAGTGTATGAATAATAATGCATAAGTCAATTCAAAGAGTTGTAAGTTAAAAGAGGAGTGGGTATTTTTATCTTTGTCATCTTCATTATTTGAGTTAAGCACACAATTAGGTACTCAATTCTTTAAAATTTCACCTTTTAGGTACTCAATTCTTTTTATTTTGCTTTTGGGTACTGAGTTAAGAATTCAAGCCAAAAAAATTAAATCAGCCAAAGAGTTGAGTACCTTGGGTTAAAGAATTTAGTACCCTTGGTTAAGTATGTGGGCCCCACTCGATTAAAAAATTAATATTTATATAAAAAAAAATGTATTAAATTAGACTAAGAAACTAACCGTTGGTTTCATCCAAAACAGCAAGAAATTAGGCATGAACCTCGCAGAAAATTCATCAAAAACAGCAAGAAAATTCATCAAAAATTTTTTTAGTGTAAACCTGCAGGCATTCGATTAAAAGAAACAGATGGGCAGTCCTCCATCCACAGCTGCTCCTCAATCAAATTGAGGGAAAGTTTTGCTTAGAATATCATTCACAGCTACCTTATTACAAGTTCTAGACTGAAAAGAAAAGCAACAAACATCAAACAAACTAGTCATGCTTAGAACATCAAACAGACAGCAGCAAGTTGATTAGATGAAGGCAATCCGAAGAGGCCTTCAATCTCCTAAGCCCAGCATCATACGCATATTTGAGGCCAAAAAACATGGCATGAGCTTCTGCATTACAAGCACCAATTGAACCAGAAAAAGACTTGCTCCCAGCCATAAGTTCATCAACAACAGCAGCTTAACCAGCAACAAAACAGGTTCATTGAGCATGTTATTTAGGCATAAATTTTGCAATGTTTTGCCAGATTTTGTAGAAAAAAAAAATAAAAATAAAAAAACCAGAAACAGAAGGGTTGCTGCTCTGCCTTGATGCTAGTACTTCAACTCTACCACAAAACCAGAGACAAATTTGTGAGAATTACAAGTGCATATCAAAGCCTTGTTATATTTTTTTCTAATTTTTGTTGTTACTAGCTTGAGTGTGTGGGGTGTACCTTCATAGTCTTGTAATGGTTTCAGTTGTAGTAGTTGCTTCAGAATTAGGCTTCCTTTTGTTTCCAGTTTGCTATAGCATTGAAAATGTAATGAGAAATTGAAATTGAATGAAAAAAAAATAGAAATTTAACTATAATTGAGCTTTACATACCCATGACTGTCTCTGAAATCCATTTGGGTAGGTGTATACACCAATACCTCTTTCATGCATAGGCACATAAGCTTGAGACTCTTGTGTTGGGACATGTTGCCTTGGTGTTGAGGAACTTCCTCCCTGACTTTGACTTTGAGACTCTTGTGTTGGGACATGCTACCTTGGTGCTCCAGTTTGTGTGCTCCAGTGATTAGAGTCTCTATGTCTCATATCTTGGACAAATAGGACAAATCACAAACAGAATTATGGCAAGAAGTCTCCAAAACACGACATTTTGTCACCATGACCAACATTTATTAGCATTTATCAAAGCACAAATCATCACAACATGACGAATCGTAAATTGTAAGAGCACAAATCATCACAACATGACGAATTATAAGAGTACAAATCATCACAACATTTCGAATAAATCAAATTGACAGGAAAAAAATCACATTACGACGATCAAAATATCAACCTCATTTTACGTATGTACTGGAATTACACCAGATCGAAGCAGTTAATTATACGATCAAACATAATTTCAGAGCATGCATTTCAACAATGGATATTACGAAACGTCAAAATCAAACAATCACAATAATTCCTCGATCATCAATTTGTTAAAAAAAAACCCCAAAATTCGAAAACCCTAGGTCGCGAATTACATCATCAAATGGGCAAAAAATCCAAAATTTATATCAAATTCACAACATAAATGATGATAAATTGAGCTTACCTAAAAAAAATGGCGGTTTTGGTGCCGTTTTCACCAGATTCGAGCACAAAGAAAGCTTATGGTGTCGTTGTTCTTCGAGAATGAAGTGCGCAGCAAAGTTCCAGAAAAGGGAAAAAAATAACTCGCAAAAAGGGGAATAAAGAAATAGAAAGGGAAAAACATGGGTTGACCCGCGAATTTTTAAATCAGGTGGGGCCCACATACTTAACCAAGGGTACTAAATTCTTTAACCCAAGGTACTCAATTCTTTGGTTGATTTAATTTTTTTGACTTAAATTCTTAACTCAGTACCCAAAAGCAAAGTAAAACGAATTGAGTACCTAAAAGGTGAAATTTTAAAGAATTGAATACCTAATTGTGTGCTTAACTCTCATTATTTAAGATTTGAGAAAGTGTGACCATCACGATTTAATAATTTAAATTAAACTAGTATAGAGAGAAAAATTTTGAGTAATGTTCTGAGTAATGTTTTATAAACTTTGTATAGAGAGAAAAATTTTGACGCAATGATCTTATAAGTAATGGATTGTTTAATGTTTTAAACAAACACCATAAAAAAAATATGGGAACAAATGGAAAAGTAGCTTATATTAAAATAATTTTTATAATAACCTAGGATATGAGTGTTTATAATATTTGTTTATTATTAATACAAAGGAAAAATTACTTTAAATAAACTAACCTTTGCTCTATTCTCCTAAAATAAACCAACCTTTAGATTATTTCACAATAATTAAACCTTTATACCCTACTTCCCAAATGAACCAAACAACCCCAACCCCCGAAACAAACCCTGATCTTCACAAAATCATCCCTCTCCCTACCCAATACGCAACACCACACCATCGAAATAACCCCTCATCCATAAAAAATCAGCCCCCCACCCAAAACCTTTAGCGACCTACGCACTTGGCCTGTTAAAATGGAGAAAATTCCTCCAACAAAATCAACAACTCCGGAGAAATCGATTACTTTTTCTTCTTCAAATCTTCTAAAATAATAATTAAAAAAAAATCTTTCCTTTCCTTTGACTTTCGTTTCCTCTTCTTCTTCTCTCCCTAAGTCTTCACTTGCTTTCTCTTGGTTTTTTTGTGTGTGTTTTGTCCTCTTTTCCTATTCTCTATTTCTCTCTCTCGCTCTCCTGTCCTTATGGATATGTTTGTGGTGGTGACGTGTGTGTATTGGTGGTGGTGGCGTGTGTGCATTGGTGGTGGTGGCTCGAGGTTTGTGGTGCCCGTCAAAAAGAGGTTTGTGATGGCTAGAGTTGTTGTTGTTGGGTACGTTAAAGGGAGGTGAAGAGGTAATGGAGGAAGGCCATGGAAGCTAGGAAAGGAGAGAGAAATAAGGATGGTGGTGGCTATGGGGTGGTGAATCTGGAGATGGGGGAAGAGAGAGAAAGAAGAAAGAAGCTAAGGGTGGTTTTTTTTTTTTTTTTATATAGTAATTTTAATTTTTTTTTAAGTAGGAAATGTTTACTTTTACTACAAAAAAGAATAAAAAATAATTTTTAACCATCAAAACTTCTGAAACTTTTACTTTACCACCAAAAAAAAATAAAAATCTAAAACTTGTTTTTACCTACCTAACGTCAAGAAAACCGTTAAATCTAACGGTTTAAAAAAAATTTCTCCGAATTTTGTGCAAAAAAAAGTTCATCATAGGTTTAAATTAAGGGGGGCATTTTTGCTCTATGAGTCCAATTTGAGGTTCCAGAATTGACAAAAAATGATCGAAATGCCTCGTTTTGCATAGGCCCAAAATCCCCCCAAAACCCCTAAAGACCATGTGTTTGACACGAAAATCAAAGAAAAATTTCATTATGTTTTTTACGACAGATTGTAATAAACATTTTTTTAAAGGGAAATTCTCAATGGTAGCTATATACAATTGCGGATTCTCAATGGTAGCCGAATTTTTTCAATAATCTCCTAAATAGCATTAATATTCTAATTAGTCTCTAATATAGCTATATGTAAGTAAATCTGACCAAATTAAACTAAAATCATTAACCATAGTTAAATAAAGTTGTAATTTACTAAGTTACCCCCTTTTAATCGAGTAAATGCAAACCCAATTACCCTCACTAATCATTTAGTGAAGATGTTCGAAACTCTTCTACATTGAATTGCAAGGGACCTCAACTGATTGAAAATTAAAACCATTAATTAAAATCTACCAAAGGTGCATGCTAAATTGTAACATTGGCAAAGTGATTCATCCCTACTTTACCCTGATTTTTCAGTTTTTTTCCCCAAATTTAATGGATTAAAAGCTTTCTTTCCCTGTTTTTTATTCAATTAATATCATGATTTATTGTGCAAAATTTTCTCTTTAGAATGTAAATCAAAATGAAATAGGATGTAATCTTAATTTCAACATTGGCTTATATGATATGTCCTGTTCTTCAATTTTTAACTTATGAATTGAGTGTCCGTGTATCCTTAATTATAGCTATCAACGGAGGTTTATAATTTCACTTTAAATAATAGGTGTATATGGAGCTCCGGAAACTTTGTAATCATTCATTGCTTAGCTACCCATTTTTTTAATGACTTTTCAAAAGATTTTCTTGTGAAGTTATGTGGGAAATTATAGATCTTGGACAGAATTTTCAATAAACTTCACATAGCCCAATATATTAGGAGGAAAATTGTGTTTACAGTTTAGGAGGGAAATTTAGCTAACTATGGTTATTGATTTTAGGTTAATTTGGTCAGATTTAGGTAAATATAGCTATAATAGAGAAAAATATGAATACTAAGGCTATTTAGGAGATTATTGAAAAAATTTGGCTACCATTGAGAATCCACAATTGTATATGGCTACCATTGAGAATTTCCCAATTTTTTATTTGGTGGTAAAATAAAAGTTTTAGAAGTTTTGGTAGTAAAAAACAATCTCTTGATGTTTTTTTTTTTTTTTTTTTTTTTTTTTTTTTTTTTTTTGTGGTAAAAGTCAAAAACACCTAAAAAGTAAATTAAAAAACACTACTACATTTTTTTACCTATTGCAACCCCCAAATTCGTTGCATTAGGCATCAAAATCCGTGGCATTAGGCCTAACGCAACGGCCATGTACCGTGGCATCTGCTGGCGTTGCAATAGGTCTAATGCAACGACATATGACACCTAATGCCACGGCATCAATGATCCGTTGCGTTAGATCAATACCTGATACAACGGTTACATTATTGCCGTGGAATTAGGTATTAGCTAATGCCACGGTTTCCTATACCTAATGCCACGGTAACCTATACCTAATGCCACAGTTTCCTATACATAATGCCACGTTGCATATTCCCTAATGCCACGGTTCCTAATACCTAATGCCCCACAATGCATATACCTAATGCCAATAATAATAATGATAATAAAAAAAAATAATAAGCAAAATTTTCAATAAAAAAAATTAGAATTTTATTAATATAAATTAAAATTACATTGTTATCTATAAGGAAAATTACAAAATTAAATTATCACTAGTTAAACTAATTAAGAAAAAAAATTAAAAGTTAAAATTAAATCATTTTGTCCCCCAAACAATATTTTCAGCAATTCTTTGAACCACATTATCATTTCTTGTCCTGCTTCTCAAATTTCTCAAGTAAAGAAATTCTGGAAGCATCTTCCACCTGTAGCACTGTTTACACCATATCCAATGGATCTAAATCCCCTGATAAACAAAATACACAAACTTCATCACATTATATCTCAGACCAAATTACAGCAGATACATATATATATAGCAAAAACTACTCACATTATTCCTCCTTTGTTGATATTACTCAGATTTCCCAAAATTTGTTTCATTAGTTTTAGGATTTTGCAGAGTTTAGCAAATTACTCACAAGACAAGAATGGCATATACAAGCATAACATAAATTAATTATCAGGTTCAGAACAAAATAAAATGCAAAACTCTGCTTACATAAATAAAATTATTTGGACAAATGAACGTGAAAACTGTTATACTCTGAAAACGGCTAATCTGCAAGCATTTTAATCCTAGAAAGCAAAAACAGAAAATCATTTGTTGTAATTTACAGTTATATATATCATCCATTAAAGTTGTAATTCACAAGAAAAATACCTCAATCATAGGCATGTATGTCAGGTGTGAGCTTGTTTAATGTCAAAGTTAAGCAACTCTAGCTTAAAAAATACCTAAGATTGTCAGGCTACAGAAAATGGTCTCACTAAGGCTACTAGAACACTAATCATTTAGCTTAACTTAAAGCAAGTTTTAAATGGATATTATTTCAAAGAAACCCAATTTAAAAAACTTTCCGTATTATCAACAAGATGAAGTAATAGTGGAACAACAGACGTAGTTAGAGGAAGGTATACCAATCAATATTTTCTGAGAGGACTCATATATATCTGACTTTCAACAACCTCAAACATCAAACTTTCACAATCAGCTACATGAACACTTACTAAATTGGGACACTAAAGAAGTAACCTCTCTGAACCTTAAAATTGTTAACATTAACAACTTTTATTAAAACCATCCATTGTAAATATAATATTTCAAATTAATAACCTGGATGCAAATTTTATACAAGAGGTAAGATTCAGGTCATTAAGCTCTAGACAAATAGACAAATAAGTATAGGGCTGAAATTTTAATTATTCACTAAATCAGAAAAGAATCTAGGTGTGAAAAGTAAGAGAAATTAGTCAATGTAAAGTAGAGGTACTCACATCTAAGCCAGAACAACCCCACAAGCAAAGTTTCTTCTGCTTGATAATAAGCTTCAGGATATATTTGATGCAGCTTAGCTTGCTACTTTTCTGTGGACACTTATCACTGCTTTTATCTACAGAAGCATCATCCATGTCAGGATCATAAATAAACATACCACAGTCCATTAACTCCAGAAGAGGTAACTGAGATTGAATACCATTTGTTCATATGCAGAAAGATGCATACATTCAGAATCAAATAAAGGAAATGTAATTGAAAGCAACGAAAAAATATCAAGGCAGCACGATTAAATCTAGGCAAGGAATATAAATTTACTTGAAGTAATATTTGGACAAGTAATGAGTTCATATTAATCAACATTAGCTGATCCTCCTGACATTCACTCCACGGATGAGCCCCCAGATAATGCCCCTCAAAAAGAACATGCCAACAAATAAGACATAGCAATAAAA